TGGAACTTGCTCTTGTAGACCAGGCTGGTCTCAAACTCACAGAGATCTATCTGCCTGCCTCCGCCTCCCGAGTGCTGGGATTAAAAGCGTGCGCCACAACAATGGCTGTGAATAGGTGTTCTTATGCCATATGTCACACAGGGACCTGGGTGTTCCACATACTGGCTCTACTCTTCCAGAAGCTGGATATGGATAAGGGAAATTAAGAAGGAAATGGCCACCTGAAGATGTCTGGCAGTGAACTCTACCAGACTTGCTCAGCCAAAGTCTGGCACACTCTGTCTCTGTAATGAAACTGACACTCTTGAAAGGGAGGACATCCATCATTCAGCGAATAGTTACAGAACATTCACTATGTGCCAAGAACTATGCTGGTTAGGGATACTTATACATCAATATGGTCTGCACTCTCAGAGGGCAAGTCAAATGAGAAGCCCTCTGCTTTGTTATTGTTGCTAGTTTTGGAGATAGGATCTCAGTTCTATAGCTCAGGTTGGCCTGGAATTCACTATGTAGCCCAGGCTATCCTTGGATTTGCACCCCCCCCTTCCCAGCCCCTTCTGTGCAAGCATGAATGTGGACAGGATACCATGGCTCAGAGTAATAAAGTGAGACTGCAGTGGACCAAGATCCAGGAGAACAACTCTGTGACATGGGTCAGTAGGGCTCGACACAACTTCTCTTGCTCCCCTGGTCCTGCTCTGGAGGTCACAGGAGAAAGAGAGGGCACTTTGGGGAAGAGCCATCAATGAAGAAAATTCTCACACTGGGGCTGAAGAAACAGCTCAGTAGTTAAGGGTACTTCCTGCTCTTCCAGAGGACCCAAGTTCAGTTCTTAGTACCCATGTTGCTTCTGTAACTCCAGCTCCAGGAAGACCCAATGCCTCTCATCTCCGTGGACACCTGCACTTGGTGCATATACCTCCTCCTCCTCCTCCACATAGTTAAAAAAATGTTTAACAAAACCCTCACAGCTTATCACAGACAGGGTGGAGGACACCCCTCCCTACAACACACACATGCACATGCCAAGAACATCCAACAACCACCAGAGGGCAAATCACACATTGACAGGTATTCTTGGGAAACATGTCCACTCCCTTAGCTCAAAGAGAATAACAGCATGCTAAAAGTGTAGAGTACACTCCCCTGCCAGCCACAAGCCACAGCTCTCACCTCCATCCAGCAGCTCCTTGACGATGCGGTAGTCATCAGCCAGGACAGCATAGTGCAGGGCTGTGCAGCCTTTGAAACTAGCACGGTTGTTTAGCCGGTTGTTGAAGTCATCCTCTCGAGTGACTAGGACTGAGGGACGGAAAACAAACCAAACCAAACCTTCCATTAGCAACAAATTAGTCTGTGCATGCTTACCTCCCCCCTCCTTTTCCTACCCCCATCTCCTTTTGGTAGGTGTGTGTGTGTGTGTGTGTGTGTGTGTGTTGACAGGGGTCTCACTATGAAGAGAAGGCTGGCCCAGAGCTAGCAGAGATCTGCTTGCCTCTACCTCTCAGAGTTGGGACTAAAGCATGTATCACCTTTGGCTCTCTTTGGTCTTTTTTTCTTTTTCTCTGAGACCAGGCTGGCCGTGAACTCTGAGATCCAACTGCTTTTGCTTCCCAAGTGGAAGGCTGTGCCACCACACCTGTCTCTCTGAACTTTTTGGGGGGTAGGGTGGGGGGTGTCCAAGACAGGGTTTCTCTGTGGCTTTGGAGGCTGTCCTGGAACTAGCTCTTGTAGACCAGGCTGGTCTCGAACTCACAGAGATCCACCTGCTTCTGCCTCCTGAGTGCTGGGATTAAAGGTGTACACCACCACCACCACCACCATCACCCAGCTTTTGTTTGAACTTTTAAGACAGTGTCACTATGTAGCCCAGGCTGGTGTTTAACTTGTAGTGATACTTCTGCCTCTATCTTCCATGAGCTGGGATTCAGGTGTGAGCCACTATGTCCAGCTTTATCTTTTTGCTTTTTTTTTTTTCATGTTTTTTGTACCTCAGACTGGTCCTTTTGTTTCAGCTGCTTGAGTGCCTGCCTCTTCAATATTTAATTTATCTGCGTACTTCTAAACATTAAGTAGCACCTACACTGTGTGCCTGGCCATCTGGGCTGGACAAGAGTAGTAAAACAGTCTGGTTTGTTTCTTCCATGAATGTGGACTGACATCCAGTATTCATTTTGGGTACATGAAATGAATCGTTACAGTCCCTGACCTAAGCTGACCAAAGAGGCAGATGTGTAGAGTGTTGTTGCAGATAAATCCTATGTTGGGGTACAATGGGATGGCACAGAAAGCCAGGGGACAGTTGAACTCAACTGTTGTGCATAAAGAAAAGGTTCCTAAATATTGGGCAACTCAAAGGATGAGGAGTCCAGCTAATAGAGGAGGAGGAGGTGGGATGGCAGGACCAGGAAGAGGGGTGTAGGATGGCAGGACCAGGGAAGGGAGGTGGGATGGAGGACCAGGGAGGGGGGTGGGATGGAGGACCAGGGAAGGAGGTGGGATGGCAGGACCAGGGAAGGGGGGATGGGATGGCAGGACCAGGGAAGGGGGGATGGGATGGCAGGACCAGGGAAGGGGGGATGGGATGGCAGGACCAGGGAAGGGGGGATGGGATGGCAGGACCAGGGAAGGGGGGATGGGAGGGCAGGGTCGGGGAAGGAGGGGTGGGATGGCAGAACCAGGGAAGGGGGTGGGATGGCAGAACCCGGGAAGGGGGTGGGATGGAGGACCAGGGAAGGAGGTGGGATGGCAGGACCAGGGAAGAAGGGGGGGGTGGGATGGCAGGACCAGGGAAGGGGGGATGGGATGGCAGGGTCAGGGGTGGGGGTAGAGCAAAAGAGGATTCTGTGCAGAAAAGCCACACACCTCTACAGGTTACAATTAGTAACTTAAATATTAAAATTTGATTTACAAAATCAAGTAATAAAAATTGAAACTACAGAAGAGCACAAAGAAGAAAAAGGAACTAATATCTCAACAACTTGAGAAGAACACTTAGCATTTTGGTCTAGCTCTTCAGGGATTGCATATTGTGCCTTGGTGTGCATTCCCTACAAAGTCAGAACTTGTTGTATCTGTAATTTGCTTTTTTGTATGTTTTGGTGGCGCTGAGTGTTGAACTTGGTGGTGAACATAGCCTTGTGCATGACATAGTTCTACCACTAACCTCCATCCCAGCTTCTGCAATCTCATTTTTTTACCCTTACTATCTATAAACATTTTTTCTGAAAGCTAAGGACAGACATTTCACGTGAAAAGAACCTGCAAACCCTCAGGCTTACTGTAGTCCTACTATTCATGTTGCCTGTCTTTTCTCTCTCCCATTTTATTAAAATAAACTGAAACTGTTCCCATTTTCAAACCTCTGGGTTGGTGGACATATTCATATCTGCTTATATACACATACCACACTGGTTCTGGCTTACGCTGCTGTTCAGACACTTTTGGACCAGTTAACAAACCAGAAGGTTCCACTGCTCTGGGGCATCCCCTGGGAGCCAAGGCCCCACAGAGCAGTTTCTAGCGTGCTTGGGTGATGAGGTTTCTGTTTCCCTCATGTGGAAATTTCCCAGGAACCCAATTTTCTCTAATGCTCTTTCCTGAGCTCAGTGTGTTGAGGGCAGAGTCTAGGATCTAGGACCTGCCTCCCTGTGTCAGTTCTCTCTGATCCCCTGGCACTAATCCTGTAAAGGGCAGATTCCTCTTGCCTCTAGAGGGATAAAAGGGCATGTACTAGGCAAAATGTGACCTTGCCCAGATTGTAGCACCAGACCATCATTCCTAAGCCACTCTTTCTGAGTGTTTTCAGAGGGAAGTGAATGTGTGCCCCTCTTGTATTACTGAAGACACTATCTAAATAAAATTCTAAAAGCTAGCAGGCTGTCTAGTAGTCACAATCCAGTCCCATTTTTAAGACAAGACCATGGATGCTCAGCTCACTTGGCTAGTTAATGGTGTGTGAGGAGCTCAGAGGCTGAGGTGGAAGGACTGCTTGAGCCTGGTAGTCACTCACCAGCGATGAGAACCAGAACCCGAGTGAGTGCCTGTTCTTCCCTCATTGAGCCAAGGAAAGAATCCAGTACAGACAGAGAAGCAGAGCCGGATGTTGTACCAGACTTAGCCCCTTGCATTCTCTTCTTTTCTTGCTCTGGCAACACTGTAAGACATTTGGTGGAACCTGGCCTCACCACATGACAACCTGCACATGTGTAGCCAACACCCTAACTGGCTAGCTTGGGTGGAAGCACTATAAACCTTTGGCCAAAATGAAGATGGTGGAGCTTGGAGCTTGAGACCAGACCACACTGCTGACCCCTGCAGTATTATGTGACATTCTCTGGGGCAACAAGAACAGGAAGTAAGAAAGTTTCAGCTAAGGTTAGATCAGCTAAGGTTAGATCAGGCTCTGGACACCCGAGGGGGGCGGGCATTGTCTGGATTAGCCTAGCCTCTGGGCACATCTAAAGGATTATCTAGGTTAGCCTGGTCTCTGGGCACACCTAAGGATGGTTATCTAGATTAGTCTGGCCTCTGGGCACATTTGAGGGGGTTTCCTATATTAGCATAGCCTCTGGCTGTGTGTAATGCTATCTATGCCATTTAGGAGCTCAGTAAGAGTAACCAAACCTTAGTCACATTTCATACTAGTTACTTACTCTTAGTTATTCACATCATTCTGGGGATCTTGTTTCTAACCCATTGCAGATTAGGAAAAGGAAATAAGGCTGGGGAGGACACTTCAGAGTCAAACAGATTGATCACAACCAGATGCTGACCAGGCAGGGAGGGAAAAGAACAGGACAATGAAAAGCTGAAAAAGGATTCCAAGCACAGCACCTCAAAAGGCCCTAAGGGCATCTCTGAACTGCCACACAGGACATTAATGGCTGGATATAATGATAAACCTGAAGAAAAGTGATAGTTGGCTCAAGAAAGCAAGAAGGGTATAATCCATTTTACAAAGAAAACCCATCATTCATTCAACAAACAAGTGTAATGAGCACCGTGCGTGGTGGTAGCTTCTGGAGATGCAATAATGAATGAATAGGGCAATTCCAGATGTTATGAACTAACTGTCTGATCTGAGAATCAAACCAATAATGTTTTTTTCACAAGTGTGATGACAAGGATATGCATACAGTGTGCTTACCACAGAAAGCAGGTGACTTGAAAGACACAGAAGGCCACTTCAGGTAAATGCCAGCAGAGGACCAGTACATAGTGCTGCTTACCTGAGGGCTCACCTCTCACTATTGCCTTCCTAATGCTCGTTCTTATCTGGAACTTCTGAAAATGCTATTCCAGCTGGAACCCCACCCATCCCTTAACCGTCACTTGGCTGGCTAATTCCTTTCTAGGTCTCTAACAAAGGTGGTCCTTCCTGAGTTGAGGTAGGTATTGTTCCTAAAGGCTTCTCTAACATCTCCTCCCCCTCCCAAAGACATTCCACAGTAACCACCTGCTTTTGTGGCTGTGTTTCCCTACTGGCTGGAGGACAGGCAGTGTGACTACTTTCTTCACTATATATACTCTGGGCTATAGCCCAGAGCACAGCACAGCCGGGTCATAAATGTCTGACAAATGCTTGTTGAATCAGCAAGTAGATATAAACTGAGTGCCTCTTTTATGAAATCAAAAATCTAAAATACTCTGAAATCCAAAACCTTTTTATTCCAAAACCCATTTCAGTACTGGCATCTTTCTGATTCTGGTTGGGCCCAGTGACCCACAAGAAGCAGAGGCAGAAGGTTACAAATTTGAAGCTATCCCAAACTAAACACTAAGACCTTATCTCAAAAAAAGTTAACGATTTGGGAGTTCATACTTTTGGATCAGGGGTATTCAACCAATAAAACCTATATATGAATATATCAAATTTCAAACAAACTCTCAAATCTGAAATTCTTCTGGTGCCAAGCATTTTGGATAATATAAATTCAACATCTTACTCAAATAAGGTCCAGATATTTCTGTTTATGGAAAACAATAACATCTACAAACAAATGTTTAGTGAAGGCAGCAGAGAATGGCTGGCAATTGAGCAAGTTCTGGAGACAGACCACTTGTGCCTGAATTCTGAATTTACTGTGCAGGTTCACACAGTTTGCTTGACCTCTGTGCCAAACTCCTGTCTGTAAATGGAAAGAAGGCCAGGAAGCTCTTGGTGGGCTTCTCTAGGTGTGCTAATACAGCATCTGGTTTCAATGTCAGCCGTTATCCTTTTTATCTAGTCTCTCAAAAGGCACAGGAGCCGGACATGCAGGTGTGAGGTAGCAACTGCCTGTTCTGCTTAGAGCTTTGCAATGCCAGTGCTCTTCAGATCTGCTTCAGAACTGCTCTAAGTTTATGCTCTCATTTCATGGGGGAACCCTGATGGCAAGCAGGAACCTTCCAGTTCAGCAGGACCCATTTTGTGCTTGGCATGAAGCTTTCTCTACACTGCCCAGTGTTAGCAGCCTATGTGCTCCATAGGCTTGGGTTTGAATACTAGGTCCCTGGCTGGTAGAAAGTTTACTAAGGATTAGGAGGTGTGGCCTTTTGGAAGAAGGCAGGTCACTGGGGTGGGCTCTGAGGTTTCAAAAGACTATGCCTGGCCTAGTCTCTTTATCTTTGCCTCCAACTTGTAGGTAAAATGTAAGCTCTCAGCTACTGCTCCAGTGTCATGCCTACTGGTCTGCTGCTATGCTTCTTGTCATAGAATCACGCCTCCCCCACACCCCGAAACTGTAAGCAAGCCCCAATTAAATGGTGCTTTGTTTTGCTTTTGCCTTGGCCACAGTGTTTCTTCATAGTAATAGAAAAGTAACTAGGACACCTTTCTACTGATAACTGCTAAAAGGGCCCAATCCTGAAACCTCACTCTTAAGCCACAAAAGGTGGACGGAGGTAGAAACGGGGTGGAGAAATCAACAACATCCCTACCCCCACAGTAAGCAAATTCATCTAAGGGAGCATCCAAGCCTGTCTCACCAGCTGGCCACCAAGGTGGTCTCCTGAGACCCAGCGTTTAAGGCTGGCCTCTAGCCAGTGAACCATCTCCTTCTCAACAAAGACATCTTCCCACCTGTCTCCAGCTTGGGAATTTGCGGGGGGGGGGGGCACATGCTCCTCTCCCAGAAGCTTCCCCTGTCTTTGTGGGAGGTCCCATACCCCTCTGGCCACAGGAGGAGTGACAACCATTTCTCACTTCTGCCCTTACCCCTGCCTGTGAATGTTAGGAAGTCTATGCCTCAGGAGGCCACAGCCAGGACCTGGGATCAGTAGCAGTCAGAAAGACCCCATGGCCTCCATGTAGCTCTGGCTGCTTCTCAGCACCACTCAAACGCACAGTCCTGCTTCCCACGTTGAGAAACATTTACGGTGAACATGTCACACAGTCTGCCATCTTAGCTCTGTCATGTGCTAAGTACTACGCAAAATGGGTAAGACAAACAATAATTTGAGAAATATTGAATAGTTAGTGCTTATGGTACCGAAATACCAATACTTAACAAAAGTCTAAAATTTTATTATAATACGAAATGACTATATTTTCCTTAAAGATATAATTCTTTAAAATCTGACATAGATTGGGGGTGCCAATATGTGCCCCAGGTGGTATACAGCACTCATCAGCAGAGATAGGTCCACATTTGAGTTTAAGGCCAGTCTAGTGTACATAGTGAGTTCCAGGCCAGCCAGGGCTCCAACAGAGACCCTATCTCAAATAATAATAATAAAATTTTTTTTGAAAGTACACAATTTTTTTTTTAAAATTATGTATTTTTATGTGCATTAGTGTTTTTGCCTGCGTGTATATATGTGTGAGGGTGTCAGATCCCCTGGATCTGGAGTTTACAGACAGTTGTGAGTTACCATGTGGTTGCTGGGAATTGAACTCGGGTCCTCTGAAAGAGCAACCAGTGTTCTCAAATACTGAGCCATCTCTCCAGCTCCAAAAGTACACAAATATTTATGGCCATGTATTCATAGAAACCCAAAGGTAGAAACAATATAACATTCATCAACTAGTGAACAGATAAACAATATATAATAGGATGCTATTCAACCATAAAAAGGAATGAAGTAATGGTATTTGCCACAATATGTATGAAACATAATGCTAAGCAAAAGAAGTCAGTCACAAATGACCATATGGCACACAGTTCTATGTATACAGAAATGTCCACTTTAGGCAATCTACAGAGACAAGGTAGATTATTAGTTGCCAGTGACTAGCTAGCAAATGGAGAATAACTGGTAATGCATATGAGGCTTTTCTATGATGTGATGAAAATGTTCTAAAATGGACTGGGGTGATGGCTGTATAACTCTTGTGAATAAGAATAATCACTAAGATATATATTTTACATGGTGAACTTCACCATGTGTGAATTAAATTCAATAAACAGTTATATTTAAAAGCATAAGCCAAAAAAAAAAATTAAAGTGATTGCTAGGTGTAGTAGTACATGGCCAGTAATGTCAGCACTTTGAAGAGGCAAGAGGCTTGGGAGTTCAAGACCAGTCTGAGTTCCTATCTCAAAAATAAAAGTGTCTGTAGGAAGCTGGGCATATTATCTGGCATTCAGCAAAGAGTCAACAAGTGATAAGTTTGTATCATGTTCTTTCTTTTTCTGATGCCATCCTGCCTGCTGGAACCATCCCTAACACTAATACCGGAAAATGGCAGAAGCTCATTTCATATTCAGTGGAGGGTCACAGGTATGTCATTCGAGTACTGTGGGAAGAAAATAATGGCTTCTATTTATTGAACTCTGTGTGTGAGAGATCAGGTCAGGCACTTGATCAACTAGTTTTCTCACAAGAATTCACTAGGCTGCCATTTAATAAATGAAGAAACTAGTCTCAGTTCATGCAGATCATTTAAAGAGGCACCATGAGGCAACGGTTATCTGTACAGACACTTGACTTTTTTCTGTGTGACTATGACTTCCTTCTGGCTCTTATTTACTTATAGGGGACTCACACTTTATGAATAAGCAGCCTGAGGTCATAACCTCCCTTCCTCTAGACATTCTAGTAATGTCTAGTTCACACCAAATTAGTTGACATGTTCTCCTGCATGGACTTGTGTATTCTTACACAGTTTCATGCAAATATTCTTGAATGTGGCAAGTGCTTAATAAATACTTCTTTAGTGAGATGTTAAGCTTG